CTATTTTTTCAGGTACAATATCCAGCCCATAATCAAAGATAATCAGGCACACAAAGAAACAAGAAACCTTGTGCAAGAATGGAAACAAACAACAGAAAACACAAATTGACCCATGAAGATTTAAGATAGTGGAATTCTCTGATACTGACCATCAAGTAACACCACTTACTGTGTTTAAAGAAGTAAAAGACAAGCATAAAAAAATCTGCAGGGAAGGGCTGGCCCCGTGGCCGAGTGGTTAAGTTCGCGCGCTCTGCTGCAGGCGGCCCAGTGTTTCGTTGGTTCGAATCCTGGGCGCGGACATGGCACTGCTCATCAAACCATGCTGAGGCAGCGTCCCACATGCCACAACTAGAAGGACCCACAACGAAGAATATACAACTATGTACTGGGGGGCTTTGGGGAGAAAAAGGAAAAAATAAAATCTTAAAAAAAAAAATATTAAAAAAAAAAATCTGCAGGGAACAAATACCTAGTAAGAAGTGCCACAATGGAATTTTAAAAGAATCACATAGAACTTCCAGAACTGAAGAATACAATAACCAAAATTAAGAACACAATGAATTTGTTAAAAAGCAGATTAGACACAGCTGAAGAGAGGACAAGTAAACTGGAAGAAATTGTCCTTAATACAGTATGGAAAGACGAAAGAACAGAAAATACCCAGTTAGAGCAGAAACACAGGGGATATAGAAAGATCTAACATATATTGAATTGGGGTCTCAGAGGGCAAGGAGAGAGAAAGGGGCAGGGGCAATATTTAAGGAGAAAATGACTGATCATTTACCCCAGATGATGAGAGACACTCATTTACATGTTGAAGAATCCCAAGCTTCATGGAAATAAAAGCTAAAGTATTTGGTATGACATTTCACGATGTCTGCAACTTACTTTCAAAAGGTCAGGGAAAAGCTTTTTCACATGCAAAGAGTTAGAGGGAATGAGGCAAAATGGTAATAACTGGCAAATCTGGATGAAGATATATGGATGTACATTGTACTATTCTTTCAATAGTTCTGTTAAGTTTGAAATGCTTCAAAATAAAGAGTTTGGGGAAAAAGTAAATTCTATACAGGGAAATCCACCAAGGGCTCAGATTCTTTAAAAAGAAGGTCTAGGACTTGTCACCTGGTAAAGCGCCCTGGAACAGCCAAGATGCAAGTTGAAGGCAAAGGGAACATGAACTGTGTAGCGAAGGAGGGAAGTTCTTCATATCAGCTACAGCTTTGCTGTAGAAAAAGACTATAGTTTCTACATATAGCTCTTTTCTTTCTGTGTCAAGTATATTATTATTATTATTAATTATTTGGTGATGAAGAGTGGCCCTGAGCTAACATCTGTGCCAATCTTCCTCCATTTTGTATATGGGTCACTGCCACAGCATGGCTTCATGAGAGGTGTAGGTCCACGCCCAGGATCCAAACCTGTGAACCCAGGTCCGCTAAGCGGAGTGTGCCAAATTCAATCACCATGCAACCAGGCCAGCCCCCAAGTATATTTTTAAAATATTTTAATTCTCCCATTCTTCTTTCCCTCCGCTCTGGTATATAGGGTGTATTGGTGGTAATTAACTTTACTGTGTAGTTCACAGTTTGCAAAATATTGAGATGGGCTGGTAAAGGACTTGCAGGAGGAAGACATCATCTAGAAATCTGGACTTGGAAGCAGATGTGGTAATTGACGAGATTTTGAGTTGTCTCCCTTTGGAAAAAGAGTGAAAGTATTTTTGACAGGAAGAGGAACAGATGCATTATACTAGTAGGATACATATTTATATTTAAAACTATATTTATATATTATTTATTTAATACATGTATATATTTAATTTTATTTCTATATTTTAATATTATATCATATTAAAATATATAAATATTTATTCTTCATATATTAAATATATAATATATAAAATGTATTTTAAAACCTATAAAAAAGTATATATATATTTTTCAGAGTAAATACTAGAATAAGCACATGCATGGATGTTGGGCATCGAAAACAGTGGACTGTAGAGATATTTGTCAGGTTTTTGGCTGTCCAACAACAACTTCTCTTCCTATTTTGGGGAAGTCCTTCCTGTGGGTGGTTTTGTGGGACATGGCGCCTGGACACCACTGTATGAGCTGAAGAGGGAAGGTCCCTGTGTATCATCGTCACCCCCCACCCCCGGCTCCCGGCTACCCCGGTGTAAGCAGGTATCCTGAGTTTAGTTAACCTGATGCTTCAGGTACCCTGCCGAGTTCCCTGTCTCCATCTGACGTGGCAGCCCCGACTGGTTGCCCAGGACCCTTGGGCTGGTGCCTGACGCAGGGCGTGTGGGGAGCAGTTCCAGGGACCCAGGACAAGCGTGTCCCCCTTCCATGGCCTCAGCTCAGGTCCAGGGTGAGCGGCTGCCTTCCAGCTGGGTGAAGCTCTATGGCAGGTGTCCTTTTTTCTCGTCTTCTCCTCCCAGGCAGACGGGGACAAGCACCCTAGCGCTGACGGGGGAGCCTGCAGGCAGGAAGGTGCTGGCCCTTCAGCGCCCACCCTTTGCCTTCGCCCTGTAGCAGGTCCTGCAGCTGAACCCTTGTCGGGGGGCAGGGTTGCAGGTGAGCACAGGCTTTGGGGTCTCACGGACCTGGGTTCAAATCCCACTATATAGTGAACCCCTAACCTCTAATGATGGCAAAAATTTCCTATGAAAATAAAAAGTTTGGTGGGAATGTAAAATGCTGCAGCTGCTGTGGAAAACAGTACTGGAGTTCCTCAAGAAATGAAACACAGAATGACCGTTTGATTCAGCAATTCCACTTCTGTGTATACACCCAAAAGAACTGAAAGCAGGGACTCAAACAGAAATTTGTACACCCACGTTCACAGCAGCATTATGCACAATAGCCAAAAGGTGGAAGCAACCCAGGTGTCCCTCGATGGATGAATGGATAAACAGAATGTGGCACTGTATCCATACAATGGAATATTATTCAGCCTTTAAAAAGTAGGAAATGTTAACACACACTACAGCACGAGTGAAACTTGAAGTCATTATGCTAAGTGAAATAAGCCAGTTGCAAAAAGACAAACACTGTCTGATTCCACTTATGTCAGGTCCCTAGAATAGTCAAATTCAGACAGAAAAGTAGAATGGTGGTTGCCAGGGGCTGGGGGAAGGGAGAATGGGGAGTTGGTGTGTAATGGGTATAGGGAGAGTGTCACTTTGGGAAGAAAAAAGTTCTCGAAATGGATGGTGGTGATGATTGCTGAATAATGTGAATGTACTTAACGCCACTGAGGCGTACACTTAAAAATGGTTAAAATGGTAAATTCCATGTTATATATATTTTATCAGAACAAAAAAATGCATCATCTAAAAAAAAAAGGAAAAAAAGAGCTGCATTGCCAAACAAAATATGTCCTGGTCAAATTCAGCCTCCACTAAGAAATCTGGCCCAGGGGCTGGAGGCAGGAAGGGCTGGGGGTCTGGGAACTGAAGGGTCAAAAGGATGGAAAAGAACAAGTGGAGATGGAAGAAGGGGCCCAGTGAGGCTTGAACTTGCCTCCAGCTGCCCACGTGGCCTGTGACACTCAGGCACCAAGCCCCACGTCGACAAGGCCCCTCCTCTCTGTCGCCACCCTCCCTGCCCCATCCAATCCTCATCCTACCAGGGCCTCCTCCTCTTTGGCCTTCGGTCCCTCTCCCACATGGCCTGGGTGCTGACCTCTCTAAAGCCTGGATCTGACCACGTCTCTCCTGCTTAAAATCCTCTGGCAGCTCCCCTTTGCTCAGCTTCAGCTGGCAAACAATTTTTAAGCTGACTCGCCCCTGCTTTTCCAGCTTCCCGGCCATGCCTTTCCTGAGCCCCAGGTTCCTTTATGTCACACACCATGACCAGTTCTGAATACTTTCCATGTGGCAATTGGTAAACATTATCTCTAATTTTCTCAACAACCCTGCAAGGTGGGTATCACTGACTCTATTTTAGAGAAGGAGAAACTGAGTCTCACACAGGCGAGGTCAGACTCAGATCTATACTCTTCTCTGTCATTCACTCTGCTGCCTCAGTGCCTTTGCATATGCATGAGCATAAGTCTGTTAGCCCTCAGGTTTGGTTCAGAATCACATGCGATCACTCTAATGTGCCCTGACACCACCCACACCCCTGTCCCAGGCATTCCCCACACAGTTTTCTTCATAGTGTTCACCACTGTTGGAAATCATCTTACTTGCTTACAAATTTAATATTCTTCTCTCCACTAAAATGTAAGCTCCAGGGGCTGGCCCGGTGGCGCAGTGGTTAAGTTTACACATTGCACTTCAGCAGCCCTGGGTTCACCAGTTCAGATCCTGGGTACGGACATGGCACCGCTTGGCATGCCATGCTGTGGTAGGCGTCCCACATATAAAGTAGAGGAAGATGGGCATGGATGTTAGCTCAGGGCCAATCTTCCTCAGGAAAAAGAAGAGGATTGGCAGCAGATGTTAGCTCGGGGCTAATCTTCCTCAAAAAAAAAAAAAAGTAAGCTTCGGAAGAGCAAGGACCTATCTGTCTGGTATCCCCAGCACGTGGAGCATGCCAAGGGCACTGTAGATGCTCAGTAACAACACTGATGGGATGAGGCTGCGATGAGCGCTGTCAGATCCCTCCCAGCCCCGGCCCGGCCCTCCCTCCTGCTTGCTCCCTTAGCCCTCTGACACTGGAGATGCTGGTAGTCCCTTGCACTAGGCCTTGTGGTTATCCTTTCACTCTTGGGTCTCCCCCGGCAGACCCCAGCGCCTAGCCTACACCAGTGCCCAGCCACCTCTTGCCAAACACCTGGATCAATGTTGGAACATCCCCACTTGGCACTCGGTCGGTTCCTGCTCCATTCTCACGATGGGCTCGGAATCAGGTACCATCTTCCGAAGGGCAGGGCCCGCCCTGCACAAAGCCCTCTGGGGCTAGGGTCTCCCCAAGGGCCAGCCAAGCTCAGAGACCCACCCATCTTCAGGAAGAAACCTGGGACAAGAGGACAGGGAACACAACCATAGCAGCAGCAACTTTTATTGCGACCAGAATCCCTGGTCATGTGGGAGGGGATGGGGCAGAGGGACTTTTGGTACTGATGCCATGTTCCCGGTCCAGGACATGAAAGGTCTGGCTGACTGTGCCCTGCCCTTCCCCCGCCCCCCGAATCAGGGCAGGGCGTCCGACGGGGCTGAGACCAAGGGGAGTCCATTTCAGCAGACCTTTCATCCAAGGGAACTGAGGAAGGAGGAGCAGTTGGTGGTGGGGGACCAGGTGGCCCAAGATGCTCAGGGCACTTTGGGCTGACTTCTGCACATGTCCTTGGTGGGTTTTAGGGGAAAGCAATGAGGCGAGCTCTGCTCACGGGGAGTGGGTAGGGAGGGGGAAACAAAGGGTGAGGTGAGAAATTGCTGGCCAGTGACCACACAGGTGGGACCTCGGGATTCCAACTTCTAGCTCAGGGCTGTGTCCACCCCCTGCCTCCCACCATTCACCCCAGCCTGGGTGCCCAGCCTGGCCAGCCTCGGTTCCTATGTGGGGATCTGCATATGGCCCAGGTCCTGGTCCATGATCTGGAGGACGTCGTCCAGGATGGAAGGCCCCAGGTCCACGTGCAGCGAGAGCAGGGAGCTGGCATGAGACAGGAAGGGCTCCTCTGCCCCCGACTCAGGGGTCAGCCCATTGTGGGCCGAGCCAGCCTCCGGAATTCTCCAGATGTCCACACTCCCTGCCTCCTGTGGGGAAGGCTGTGGGGAAGACTGAGGGGTCTCCAGGTGCAGGCGAGGGGGCTTGGGTGGGGCCTGGGTTGTGGGCAGGGTGAGGGCCTGGGGCCCACCGATGACTGGGAGGGAGATGGCGTTCTTGAGCAGAGGGGACGGCCCGTCGGGGAGCTCCTGCCCATACAGCGTGGCCGTGCGGGTGAACTGGAAGGGGAGGTCGAAGGTGCCATCCTCCTCAGGTCCCTCGACCGCTGTCCCGGGCAGGAGGTGGAACTTGCCCTGCAGGAAGGAGATGTCACCAAACATGTCGCTGCCGCCTCCACTGCCGATATGAATGGTGTGGCGGAAGTCCCCCAGCGGCGGGCTGATCATGTCTGAGGACAGCAGGTCCCGAAGCTTCTCTTTCTTGCCCTTGCGGCTGCCGCGCTTCAGATAGATGGGCACCTTGGTGGACATCGTGACCTCACCACCCAGGCCTGGCTGCTGGAGCCAAGACAGTCCACCGTGGAGCTCACAGCCTCCTGCTGCCTCCTCTCACCACCCTTGACCTGGAACCCCCAGAGGGTGGTTTTCAGGGACCAAAACTTGCAAAGGGGCTAAGACTAGCGTGTGGGGTATGACCAGAGTCGGCCCAAGGAATTAGAAAAAGAAAGATGAATGATCAATGAAGTCAGAGGGGTCGAGATAATAAAAATCACTTTCTCCCAAAAGAGTTGAAAACGCTTCTGAAAATTGGAAGCAGAAAGGCAGAGATCTCGTCGGCAGCAATGCTCTCTGCTCTGTTCTCGTGACTATCTTCCTGGTCCGTGGTTGAGGAGCTGAAATACCAAGGGGACAAGTCAGGGACAGAAGACAAAAGTCGGAAGCATCTGTCTCATTTCTGGATCCCCTGTGTCAGCCCTGGGAGCCCAAGGGGGGCCGCTGTCCTGGGGGAGCCCTGGAAGAATCGTGTTCATTCATGGACTCAGTGCGCCTTAGGGCCTGGGTCACCAGTGCCAAGCCCTTCCCTTTGCAAGTGGGGAAACTGAGGCCTGGGAACCCGAGTGACAGGCCCGAAATCGCACACAGAGTCCTGGCTCTGGTCTCTTGCCCTGGGTCCCCAGCTCTGCTTCTCACCAACGGCCGGGTACTCAACCCCTACCGCACATCGACGGTGCCCTAAAACACGACAGGTGACAATTGTGCGGGGGTCTCACAGACTTCTCTTGATTCCCTACTTGACTGAGGACAGAGATCTTGTAACCTGTCTCGTCCACCCAGGCCTGGCACAGGCTGGACGACACACAGCAGATGTCCAGCCAATGGTGCCAAATGACTGACACCTCCACTCATGTCCCACCTGGAAGTGACGTCGCTTTCTGGGAGTTTCCTTTTCTCCTCCTCCGGGTGAGCAGTCCCTTATGGGCAGAGGCTGAGTCTAAAGTACTTTCTGTCCCTCTTTCCTGCCCCAGCACCTAAGGGGAAGATGGAGCTGGGGGTACAAATTTTTCAGGGGCTTTGCTCTGTGCCTGGCATTTTGCTGAGTTCTTTGCAAACACATCTCATTTAATCAACACAACCCTCCTCCTATTGTTCGCATTTTAAAATTAGCGCTATTAAGACATTTTGGAGGAATTCCCACAAGGCATTGCAGAGGGAGAGAAGAAAAAAGCAAAAATGTAGTAAAGAAGATTCCATTTATTGAAAGTGTCAAGCAGCGCCCCAGCCAGCCTCCCCATATATGCATGTATGTGCCTACATATACAGGCCTGCAGAGGATTAAACCCGACATGAGAACAGAGAAGAATATGGAAGGCCAGCACCAGAGTGTCATATGGGTACTTAGATTGGGATGGGGTGTGGGCTCAGTGACGTGGGAGCAAAGCTGTCCTCAATAAAAATAACAATCTGTAGTATTTGCTCATGATACATCCATGCGAAGGGATGGTCGCCAAAATGTTTATGGTGGTTCTCTTGAGGGGGTGGAATTTCAGGCGACTTTCCTTTTCTTGTCCACACTTTTACAAGCTCAAATTCTTAACAATAAGCATGTATTATTTATGTGCATATATTATTTATGTAATCAGAAAAAATAAAACTATTATTAATGCGGAAAAAATAAATACACTCTGGAGGCTCCCCCAGAAAAAGGAAGCATTCACAGCAGTCCGTCTGGTTCCCATGTTGGGGGACTGGCCGATACGTGGACAAACCAGAGCCCAGATGTACAATCAGAGAACAAAAGGCAAAGAAAGAAACTCGTCCAAGGTCACCAGCGGGTAATCAGATGAGCCCACCTTCTCCCACTGCCCCCTCCCAGGCTGGCAGGGGCCGAGCAGGTGGGAAATCGCTGGGAGGGGCCATGCAGCGGGCAGGTCTCTGCCGGTTCCTCGGCCCCCTTCTGCATCCTGGGGCTGGCAGGAGGATGCAGGAGAGGCGGAGTCTCAGCTCCTCCCTCCAGCCCAGGCCCTCACTCAGGAAACCCCACCCCAGGACAACACCCTAGGTCAGTGTGCTGAGCCACAGAGACAGCGGACATCTTGCCCCTCCCAGAGCACCTGCAGCTCAACAAGAAACCAAAGAGTGACTCTCCTGAGGTGGAATTCCAGCTCAGCTTGGAAGGCGCTGGGAGGAGAGTGGAGAAAGCAGTGGGCGCCCTGAGGTCTTGGAATCCCAGCTCCGGTTCATTTACTGGTGCCCACCATGACAGGCCTGGGGGGATGCTGACACACATCCTATCTGTGCCCTTGGCAGGCGAGAAGTCCTGCGGGAGCTTTTCCTTCCTTTTTCACTCAAGGAGAGTGAGGCTGACTGGTGGGATTTGCGCAGAGCCTGGGCCAGGTCCCCCGCCCTTCCCCAATCACACAGGGGCGCCAAGACAGCCTGAGTGTTTCCACAACAAGTCGGGCGTCCCTGACAGCTGTCTCACTCTGAGCCAGATGTACCGCCCAATTCCAGATGTGGGGAGAACCGAGGCTATGGGGAAGGGCTGGGCTAGCGTCAACCACCCAGGGGAGAGCTGGGAATTCCAACCATGAAGCCCTAAGTATTCAGATTTGGCAACCACAAGACCCCAGGCTCCATTCGAATGCTCCTAGCCGCAGCGCGGTGGGTTTCACTACTGCCCTCTACAGAGGCAGAAGCTGAAGCTCAGAGATGTGAGGAAACTTCGCTGAGGTCACCCAGCTAGTAAGGGGAACAGTGGGCACTGGTACCCAGCGGGTTCCATGTGGCTCCGATGCAGTGGGGCACGCCACCTCCACAATCTCCTTGGGGAGCAGGAGAGAAGCAGCCTCCCAGCTAGGCTGGGGCACGGGGTCCCCAGGCCTCCTCTATCTAAGTCCTCCCTCTTGGCTGCCCGACCCCCCCCCCCCCCCCCACAACTTGCAAGTGTCCCAGAGATACGAGAGTGAACTCTCCATCAGGACAAGGCCTGCAGCAGTGTTAGGAGCAGATGGGAGCCATCCCAGCTCTGTGGGCTTGCTCTGGACAGGAGCGCTGGGCCTCCTTCAGAGAAAATGACTTCGGGGAGGCAGAGCCCCTCGAGTCACAGGAATGCTAGGCCACGCCCCACCAGGGGTGTTCAAAGAGCAGCGCCCCCGACCTTGAAATCAGGAGACTGACCTTGAGTCCATCTCCACCTGCGACTCACTCTGTGACCTTGGGCGAGACACCTCTCCTCTCTGGCCCTCACCTTCCTCATCTATCAAATGCGCTGACAAGTCATCACCAGAGGGCTCCTGGAGACCCTACTGGGATACTGCACGTGGGAACGCCATGTGCAACAGAAGGGGTTAGAGGTCACAGTCAGCCCCGTCATTTATTCAGCAAATAGCTAGAGGGCCTTCGTCAAACATTCTAGCTCTCCACGGACAGTGCTCCAAACAAAACCAAAAATGAACGGCCCTGGCCCGAAGCGTGCGCCTCCTCCTGACCCCCCGACGTAGCCTGCGCAGAGAACCCCCTCTCCAGCCACAGGGTCTCCGGGCATCCCGGTGCGGAGCCGTGCTCGCCTCCGCGGCCGCTGGGTGGCGCGCGCGCTCCCTCTCTCGCCCCGCATCCCGGAGGAGTCAGGCGCGCCCCGGGGTCTCCAGCGCGCCTCCAGCTCCAAGCAGGCGCCCCTCAAGGAGCGGTGTGCCCGCGTACCAGATGCGGATTGTCCGCGGGATCTTCTTCTCGTGGGGGGGGTGGGGGTCTGGTCTCAAAACTAGACAATCGGCGGGGAAAATGGGGCGGTTGGGGACCCTGCTCGGGTCTCCAAGCTCTGGGAGGAGCCTCCCCCGTGCTTTCCGGGCTGGGAGATGTCCGAGTGTCCGCTCGGCGCAGGGCCAGAGCTCGGGCGTGCGGGCCCCCGCCCCCGGCTCCCGCGGGTCCGGCCCCTCAGCCCCAGCTCGGGTTCCGGCGCCGATCCCTCTCCGCCCTCTGGCCGCGCGCAGCCCAGCCCAGCCCGGATCCGTTTCAGGACACTCGCGGTCGTGGCTAAAGATAGGAGAACACCTCACCATCGGCTAAAAATACGACCCCCAGCCCGGGCGGCGACGCTGGGCGGCGGGAGGGCGCTCTCGCGTCCCCGGGGTGGGGCAGGGGCTAGGGCTCAGGCTGGAGGACGGGACCCGGAGTTCGGGTTCGGGATGCGCTGCGCCCCGCAGGCGGAGGGGGGCGCGGGCGTGGCCTCGGGACCGAGGCGCAGGCGGGAAACACCGTGGAGCCCGAGGCTCCCAGGAAAGAACCTGCGCGGAGGTGAGACGGGAGCCGGGGCGTGAGCTGGAACGCGGCGCCACAGGGATGGGCCCCTCGAGGGGTCTCTCGGAGCCGCACACGGGCTGCAGAGTCCCGGCCCGAACTCACCTTGAGGCGCACAGGCGGCCGGCCCGCGGGCGGCGAGAACTCCAGAGCTGGACGGCGCGGCGCTCCGACCCGATCCCGGCGGGGAACTTACTGTGCGAACCGTGGCCCCTGAAGCTCCGCCCCCGGCCCGCGGAGCCAATGCCGAGGCTGCCCCAGCCAGGCCCCGCCCACTCCGGGCCCCGCCTGGGCTCCCCCTGGGGAGGCGCCGCGCCCGGGGGCCGCAGCCGCGGGGGCCGAGGGTCCAGTCCAGGCTCCGGCGGCCGCGGGCCAGGCGGCGTCGGGTGCCCGGGCTGCACTCCGCGGCCTCCGGCTATGCCCCTCGGAGCCAAAACTTGCGATTCTAGAAAGGCCGAAGGGTCGGCAGCCGGAAGACCGAGTTCTTGAGAATTCGCAGAGCGCCCTTGGACCGGTTCCCTCCCTGGAGGGTCGGGTCGGGGAGGCTCCCGCACCAGGGTGTTCAGTGGCTACTAAGGGAATGAATGAGGCCTTGGAAGCCCCTACATTAAAATATTACAAACTTGCAAGAGGTTTCAGGAGTTTACTGCCCCATAGAAAAGAGGGCGTTGAGGGTGTGCGAGCTGAGTGGCCTGGGCACGCCCATATTTGCCGTCAGGCTAAGTGGCTTCCGGGGCGGGGGTGGGACCCGTGCTTAGACACATTCCAACGTTGGTTGCTTGGTTCATTCATTCATTCGTTCATTCATACAGTACTAGAAAGGTTCAAGGGCAGGCCCTACACCGGGAGCTGGAGGTAGAGGGCAGGAAACTGCCCTCGCTGCATTCAACGATTCAGCAGATCCTTGCTGAGCATCTGCCAGGTGCCGGATGCTGTCCTTGTCGCTGAGGATTCAGCCCCTCTGGACTGAGACCTACAGTCCAAGGAAGGGACGGAGGAGGAAGCCCAAGTCACCAAGTACGCCGGGATAGCCTCCAGGGTGGGCAGGTGCTGGGGAGAGTGGGACAGAGGAAGGGTGGATCCTGATGGGGGAGGGGACCTTGCTTTCTGGAGGGTGACAGCCATGACAGTACAGTGTGACCAGGATGGTGAAAGCTTCCATACCGTGACTGTGGGAGGGACTGCCAGGGGGCAAGGTCAGGAAGGCGTCCTGAAAGAGGGAAGGCTGCTGGGGGTGGGTGGGGTCGGCCAAGTCAGGAGGGAGGGAAGGACCCGCAGAAGGGGAGCTGGGTAGGCAGGATGATGGCCTCCCCTAACATCCATGTCCTAGTCTCCAGAACTTGTGAATATTTGTTACATGACAAAGAATAATTAAAGTTGCTGATGGAATTGCAGTTGCTAATGAACTGACTTTAAAATAGGGAGATTATCCTGAATTAGCTGGGCAGGCCCAGTGTAATAACAAGGTCCTTAAAAGTGGACGAGGGAGACAGAAGAGGAAGTCAGAGAAAGAGATGTGACAATGGAAGATGGGCCCGAGACATGCTGTGTTGCAGCCTTCGAGATGGAGGAAGGGGCCACAAACAGAGGAATGCGGGCGGCCTCTAGAAGCTGGAAGAGACAAGGAAACAGATTCCCCCAGAACCTCCAGAAGGAACTAGTCCTGCTGACACCTCGATTTTGGCCCGTGAGACCCATGGTGGACTTCTGACCTACAGAACTGTAAGTTAATACATTTGTGTTGTGTTAAGCCACGAAGTTTGTGGTAATTTGTGGCAGCAGCCGTGGAAAATGAATACAGGGAAGTGTAGGGTGTTAACCCTGAGTGGTCCCTGCCCCTCCCTCAGTCCCCCAGGGAGCCTCAGTCAGGTGGATTCTGCCAGGACTGGCCCAGTGGCTCAGAGGAAAAGTGGCCTGGACAGTCGAGGGAAGGGGCATGGTAGCCCTGGGCCAAGTCGTGATGTGGTGGGGAGGGGTTGTACCTCTGCCTGCTCTTGCCACCTGTGCTCTGCAGGCACCCGCCCACCCAGGCCTGCCTGTGCCCCTTAGCAAGTGCCTCCTGTCCCTGAGCCCCTCAAGTCTTCTTCAAGCCCAGCAAGGTGGGCAGAGCCAGCATCACTGACCCTCTTTACAGAGATGGAAATCTCAGCTCCAGGTACTGACCGTGGCCTGCTCAGCCTGATAGTGCAACGCATACGGGCTCTGAGCCCCCTCCCTACTCAGGCTTCTCGCCAGCCAGTCACCCTGCCTTTCCCTCCCTCCTACAGCACAGCCCTGGGAGAGAGGGGACAGCCCGGCACCAAGCCCTGAACACTGCCTCGGGCCACAGACCCAGGTTCTGAGCTGGCTCTGCTGCTGACTTGCTCTGTGGCCACAGGCACAGGACTGTCCCTTTCTGGGCCTCCTTGCCTGTAAAATGGGAGTTAAGTGGGTCCCAAACAGGACAAGGGAACACACAGCCCTGCAGGCGGCCGTTTCGTGAAAGCATTGTAACAGGAGCTTTGGGGGCAGGTCGGCTGGCCTTGCCAACTGGCCTGGAATGGCTCTAATGATGAAGCCCCCTGAGCCTGCAGGAATGTGGCTGAGGTGCAGCCCCCACCCCCTGCCCGTCTGCTCGGAGTCTTCCATTGGAGGAGGGGCCTGGAAAGGCTCAGGAGCTCCATTCAGAGCTAGTGATAAAATGGAAAGTTGCAGGGGTGGAAGCCTGGAGAGGCAGACTGTCACCCAGGGCCTCATAAAGCCAGGGCCAACTTCAGGGCTCCTGGGAGAGGGTCGGGGGCCCATTGGGGAGCGCTTGGGGATGGGTGGAGAGCAGCAGATTTGGACCCCTCAGCCTGGCCCAAGCCTCTGCTCCCCTCCCTCAGCCTCTAGTGATATGTCCAGCCTGGCTGCCAGGCTGGGGCTCCCAACCAGGTCCCAAAGCCACAGGAACTGCCATCTGCGCTCTGAGGACTGCTGTAAGCCTGCCTGGATGTGACAAGCTTCCGCCTAGTGCTGACTGCCCATGCGCTCGGTGCACTTCTGCCACTGGCCACAACAAGGGGCCCCCCCAAAGACCAGATCTGAGACACGATCTGTGCCTGGTGGTGGGGTCTGTGCTTTGCAAGTGCTCAGACAGGTAGTCACTGTCCCCATTCACAGATGAGGTTGTGTCGCCAGGCCGGGGCCAGAGGAATCCCTGGGGAGCCTGCTGCCGGCTCCTCGTGGTTCTGCTGAACGGACGGGATCTTGCATACACACCCGGTGGCGCCGTGAGAGCCCTGCAATTAATGAGGATTTCTAAAACAGGATTTCATTTACTAAAATTGGCTTTTTTACGCAACTTCTCAGACTGTGTGTAAGGGCCTGAGTGTGGGTGGGGAGGCTGGGATCCTGAGCCAGGGGACGGCCGGGGCGTCCTGCATTTCTGACCCAATGGACGCTTGGGCCACCCTCCCCCCGCCCAGGCTGCACCCTGTGTCCAGGGTCTGGTGCCTCAGCCAGGGCCTGGGCTGTTCTTGCTGGAAGGGCTCCTGGACACCCTGGTGGCGGAGGGGGCAGGACCCTAGGGACATTTGGGAGGAGCTAGGGGCGAGGAAGGCTGCGATGGAAGAATGCCCAGTAGGGATATGCAGCTTCCTTCTCCTCAGCCTGGAGCCTCTCCCCAGCCCTGGGATGAGCCCAGTCGGTTCCCTCCCAACCGCTCGGCTGTTCCCCCAACACAGGACCCTGTGATCGCCACACAGGGACTGACTCAGCCCTTCCTTCCTCTCCCAGCCTCTTCTTCCTGGAAATCGCCCACGTCAGCAGCCCCAGCTCCCCTGGGGGAGAGAGCGGGAAGCCCCCTTCTCCAAGGTTAGCTGGGGAGGATGGGGAGACAGCCAGGCAACAACTCCCAGGCTGGAGCCAGCTCTCCATGACCCTGCCCACCAGGGACCCAGGGCTCTGGAGGCAGGTGGGACAATGGGGACCAGGAGTCTGGGGGCAGGTCTGGGAGAAAAGGGTCACAAGAGAAGGATGGTGATACTCTTGGGGGCATCTGGCCAGGCAAGGTCTCTGGACGGACCCCAACCCGCCGCTCTGGGCCACAAGGCATCCGGGAGCTGGGTAGGCGCTCCACCCGCCCCTGGGAAGTGTCCTCCATCCCAGTCTGAGCCCAGCCTGCGGCCCTGTGGCCTGAGCCAACCCCAGGCCTGGGTCAGCTTTTTCCTTGATTGTTTCTTGTTTCCTTCCTCCTCTGGGCTCCTGCCAGCTCCAGCCCTGCCCTCCTCACTCTTCATGGCCTTCAGAGAACTCTGACCCGGCAGAAGCTGCGATTCGAGATGGGAGTCCCCTGGGAGCCGCCCCCAGCCTCTGCCTGGGACCCCTCCTTGGGAGTTGGGTGGCTGGGCCTTGCTGGGGGACTTTCCTTTGGGTCTTGATTTTGGCCCAGGCCCAGGGCCATGGGGGTTTCCAGAGTGGTGACGGCCCTGTCCTAGGGACTGGCCCAAGGCACTTCCTCCCAGAGGCCTTTGGGAGTATCTCAGCTGCACGGCTGTCCTTTGCCCGGGGGAACATGGAATCAACAGGAACCATCTTCCACACTTCCCACCCCTTCAAAGCGCCTTGTTGGGACTCATTTTGAAAACTCATATTTGCATCTACCTTGTGCCTGGGCTGTGCTGGACTTGAGAAGACACGGATGGCCAAGGCTGGGCCTCAGCCCTCAGGGAACAGATAACCCCCAGGGAAGCAAAGAACCAATTCGAAAACAGCACACTCTGTACCATCATGGAGGCCATTGACAGCAGAGGCCGGCTCTGACTCACCTCTGTCTATGGCAGCCCAGTGAGGATGGGGCTCAGTCAGTGCCTGTGGATTGAAAGAAGAGCCCAAAAGAACAGCAGTGAGAAACATTAGTTCTGCTAGAGGTAGGAAAGCCGAAGGGAGAGTTAGGAGGGCTTCAAGGAGGAGGTGATACTTGAGCAGGATCTGAATGGATGAGTAGGAGTTTGCCAGGCAGAGACAGGAAAGGACATTCCAGGGGGAGCAGGCAGAGGCAGAGGCAAAGGCCAAGAGGAGTGCAGGTAGATGCACGGTGTGATCGGGAAACCAGAGATGTCCAGTAGACCGCGGCGTGGGAGAGGGGGAAAGTCCAGGAGAGGAGTAGGTGAGCACTGTTTTCCTCATCCAGAGTTCATCCCTCTTATTCTGGTAACCACTCCTCAATTTTCTAGTCTCAAGTGTGACTGCCCAATTCCCAAGCTCTAAAAGTGGACCTGAGACCCAGGCCTAGCCAATCTGAGTCATAGGGATGGTTCAGGGATGGGCATACAACACCAATGAGCTTCAGCCTGGGGACTTGCTGGGACTGTTAGGGTTACAAATGCCAAGATGTCACCCCAGGGCTGCTGGTGGCCAGCTCTGCCACCCTGAGGGAAGAGCATGCCTAAGAATAAAGCCCTCATGAAGAAAAACAAAGCCAAGAGAATAACTCTCAATGACATTGCTTGTGCTGCTGGATCCAGCCATGCCTGAAGCAGATATTCATTATAAATACCAACAAATTACAACTGATGTTTAATCTGGTTTGGATTGGGTTTCTATCACTTGCCACTGAAGATCTTGCCCATTAAAGAATAATTAAAGGCAGGCAGGAGCTCCTGCTAGCTGCTGAATGCTATGGGAAGGGAATGAAGGATCTGTGTGAAGGTGCAACTGGATCAGAATTCCTTTTTTTTTTTTTCATGTAAATTACTTTTTTGACACAGTAATGCTTTCATGTGGTCCAAAATTCAGAAGACACAAGAAGCAAAAGTCTCTCTCTTTCCCTGGCTCGCCAGGCATCCGTTCTCCTCCCCATAGACAACCAGTGTTATCAGTTTCTTGTAAACACTTCTAGAGATAGTCTCTGCATGTACAAGCAAAGCCCTTCCCATTTTTTACACCAATGGCAATATTTAGACAAGTAGAGCCCCAAAGTACTGCAAGTGGGGGTGGAGGGAGGGCAGACCCCGTGTTGGCGGCAGTCGGAGTAACTCTGCGGGGGCCATGGACAATGACATTTTATGAGCATCTGCTATTCACACTGTCCCACGTCTTGCTTTTTTCAGGTGACACTGTGTTTCTGACTGCTCCATATCAGTCCACAGAGTGTGTCCTCGGTTCACTTTTTACAGCTGCGTAGTGTTCCAGTGTGTCATGATCGACGTAAGTGGGTCTCAGCTGATGGATGTTTAGGATGTCCCCACCCCTTTCCTGTGACAAGCAGCATAGCAATGTGTCACTTTGTGCAAGTGCTGCTGCACGCATGTCTGCGGGCGGCTGTGGAATAAATCCCTAGGCATTTGGGAGTCAAAGGACGCACACAGTTGTCGTTTAGTCAGCTCTGTCCGCTCGTCCTTCTCAGGGGATGTGCCAGGTGCCAGGTACCAAGCCCCCCGCACGGACCACAGGGCCCATTTCTCCTCAGCCTCACTGGCCCCTGGTTCTTGAACTTTCTGATCGTCGTCAGTCTGAAAGGTAAACACCGCACGAGGCAGAGGGGCCTCGGCGTATCTTAGTCTGCATTTCTCTTCGGACGAGTGAGTTTGGCCATCTTTTCTAAGTTTCAGGGTCTTTCGTATTTCCTTTCCCGTGAACTGACTGCAGCGTTACGCTTAGGAAGGTCTCTTTAGAGAGGGGACCCTGGAGGGAGACCTGACTGGAGGCAGGGGCCACTCTGGGGACAGTTGGTTCAGGAGGGAGACAGAACTGGCCCTGATCTGTGGTGTAAAAGCCGGAGTTGGAGGCAATGAGGTCACAAGATTGGAATTTGGTGACAGATCTGCCATGGGGGCCACAGTGGGACAGAAGGGGGGTCAGGCCAGGCCAGAGTGATGACTTGGGTGATGGGGGGGGCAGGGGAGGAAAGGGAGGGGGGTGGGGCCACCAAGGGAGTTGGGGGGTTCTGGGGGACGAAGACCATGTGCTACCTGCCCGTTCTCCACCCCACATCGTGGGTGATGAAAAACACCGGTCTGATCGCCTCGTGCCCCTGCTCGCACTTCAGTGCCCGCTGACCCTGGGCAGGCCCCTGCTGGCCTCTCCAGCCTCAGGCCACCTCTCCGCTCCCTCTGCTCCAGACACGGGACTTTCGGCCCATCAGCCATGCCCGGCCCCCAGGGACCGGCCCCTTGCACACGCTTCTCCCTTCCCCTCACCTGGCCACCTCTCAGCAGCAGTGTCCCCCCTCGGGGAAGCCTTCTGGACCCCCAGTCGACGTCAAGTTCCCTCGGGGAAACTCGGGACCACTGTCGTCTCTGGGCCATCATCCTATAACTCATGTCCATCCCCCACTGGACTGTAACCACCACTCTCTCCAGAGTGCATGCCACACAGAAGGTTCCAGATGAATGAATGAAGGAAGGAACGAATGAATGGCAGGAGGCTGGGGATAGCAAGAAGGGGGCCACGGGAGAAAAGGGATTAGGAAGTTAAAGAGCCTGAGTCGGGAGCCCTCTGTGAGTCATGGCAGCCGCTTGTGACCCATCCCCGGCCCCCTCTCCCCACCATGGTTCTCTCTGCACTCCGGTGTTCGAAGTTTCTGTGCTGGAGCTGAAGCTCCGTGCGGAGCCGGGATTCTGTCTGTTTGGTTCATCTCTGCATCCGATGCTGATGACGAGCGGCTCGCAGCAAGGGGTTGTGAACCAGAGCAAGCGTGGAGGCAGATGGCTCCAGGGCCCCTGCTTCCTTTTCTCTAAGCGCCTGTTTCTGTGACGGTGGAGAGGAGGACACATCCTGACGAGGCGTTCCCTCGGCGGTCATCTCTCATGGGCCTGCTGTGCACCGGGCGCTCTGCAGGGCCGAGACAGGACCTCTGTCCTGAGGGAGCGGGCCTTCTGAGACTGACTCACAGGGAGGGTATCACCAAGGTGACAGGATGTGGAGGGCTGAGGAGCGGCGGGCTGGCAAGTTATGTGCACATATGTATGTATTTTCCTTCCTTTAAAATCATCCATGCACATCACAAAAGATTTCAAACCTTTTGAGAGTGGACACGACAATAATTCTCGAGCCCCCCCAACCCCTGGCCCCTAGCCCTCCAACCCCCATCCCCAGAGGTAAACCATTGTCCCAGAAAGATTCTAAGGGGCAGCACATCGGAAGGGGACTCAAGTCTTGAGGGGAAAGTGGGCCTCGGGAGGAGCCTGCGGGGAATCAGGAATGGCCGAGCCTTCTAGAACTTTGGTCCAGTGCTCCTCCTGCCCCTGGAGCAGAGATCCTGGGCTGCGGCTGCCTCGCCGCCCTGCTCTCCCCTTCCCGCTCCTCTGGGTGGGGCCTGCTGACTTGGCCTCAGTCCTCTTTCTCAGCACGAAATGCTTCAGACCCTGGGAAGATCTGGGAGCAATGGGAGCAACAGGACGGGCCGAGGAGATGGGGCTTGGCTGGGCCCTGCAGGTCGCTGGGCAGCCGCCTGGGCTGCAGGAAGCAGTGTGCAGGGACCAGGGGTCAGCGAGGTCACAGGGCAGCAGCTGTTCCTGTGACCTCTAGGGGCTGCCGGGCCCAGGCAGCTGCAGCGCCTCAGCTGTCAGGCGGGCCTTGTGCGGGGAGGAGCCCAGGGAGGAGGCTGGGTCTGGGTGGGAGAATCTGGAGCTGGCCGGGGGCCCGGGTGGGTCCAAGGGCAGCTGGCCCCTTGGTCCCTGGGGCCCTGGCATTCCCAGGCAGCCTCAGAGGGAGCAGAGATAGGCCTGGCCGCTCAGGACAGGAAACCCAAAATGACAGAGGCCAGAGTGACGGAGGGACCCAAATACCTGAGCACAGCTGATCGAGTCCCACCTCAGAGACAGCCGCCTCGGGGACCTCTGGACCATGCCAGGAGTGTCAGCTCCATCTCTGGTGTTCCCTGTCCTTGGCTGGCCTCCCAGCCAGTTCTGTGGCTTTTGAGTGTGATGAGCCTTCCCCAGGTGACTGCCCGATCAACCTTTCTTTCCTTTTTTTTCTTTTTTGAGGAAGATTAGCCCTGAGCTAACATCTGCCACCAATCCTCCTCTTTTTGCTGAGGAAGGCTGGCCCTGAGCTAACATCCGTGCCCATCTTCCTCTACTTTATACGTGGGATGCCTGCCATAGCATGGCTTGCCAAGCGGTGCCATGTCTGCACCCAGGATCCAAACCGGCGAAACCCGGGCCGCCAAAGTGGAACATGCGAACTTAACCACTGCGCCACAGGGCCAGCCCCTCGGTCAACATTTCCAGTCCCCACCTCTGACCAGTGCTGTTCCTGTCATCTCATCGGTCTGCGGGGGTCTGTGCCCCGTTAACCCCAACCTGTCCCCACAGTCCCAGGCATTTCCCCGGGCACTGCTTCTCAACCACATCTCCTCCCCTGGGCTCAGGCCCTGGGGCTGCCCTGGGACCCTGGGACTCCTTTTAAGTCTGTCTTGGGTGGCCAAGTTGGTGAGCATGGCAAGGTGGAGAGACAAGGGGTTTGGAGTTTCAATCTCGGCCCCATTGCTTACTTAGGCCAGTGGCCTCGACCCTCTTGGAGCCTGCCAGCCGGGTGGTTGGGAGGGTCTGATGTGATCTCTGTGTTAAAGCACACATGGTAGGTCCTCAGAAATGCTCATTCCCAAATAAAAAAAAAAAAATTTAAAAAAAAAAGGGGCTGACCCCGTGGCCGAGTGGTTAAGTTCGCGCGCTCCGCTGCAGGCCGCCCAGTGTTTCGTTGGTTTGAATCCTGGGCGTGGACATGGCACTGCTCATCAAACCACGCTGAGGCAGCATCCCATGTGCCACCAACTAGAAGGACCCACAACGAAGAATATACAACTATGTACTGGGGGGCTTTGGGGAGAAAAAGGAAAAAAATTAAAAAAAAAATCTTAAAAAAAAAAAAGAAATGCTCATTCCTGTGCTTTCCTACCTGAGCAGTGTTTTCCCTGTCCATCCCTGGCGCTCAGCTTAATCCTGCTGTCCTGGTTAAGGACCTCATCATTTTGGTTGCAAGTGACAGAAAGTTCAACTCAAACTAGTGTAAGAAAAAAAGCAGGAGTGGTATTTGTGGTTCAGGTTCAAGGGCAGGGGGCTAGCTTCACCAGAGCTCAGACAACGTGGCCTGGTGCTGACCCCTCTCTCCACCTCCTGGCTCTACATCTTCTGGTTTAGTCCAGACTCAGGACGAGTTTCCCCTCCTGGTGGCAGGATGGCTGCAGCAGCTCCACCCTTGCAGCTGTGTCTTTTCTACCACTCCAGCAGAAGCCCTGGAGTCATTGCCTTTGGACTGTCTGAGGTCATGCGTATCCCTGGCCAATCACTGAGGCCAGGGAGATGCAATGTGCTGTTTGGTTTGGGCGAGGGAGGCGTGTGGAGGTGGGGTGGTTCCTGGGGCACTGTTCCATGGGAACGGGGAGTGGGTGCTGGGTGGCTGTGTCCTGTGACAGTTCCTAAACTGTCTCTGGTCCCCAGCCTCCCCCAGCTTCCCTTTGCCCCTTGCAGCACCACCAGTGCTTTCCTCAGAAGCCTTCCCTGGGGCGCACAGAATCAGTGCAGACGCCTTTGCAAGGCATCCTAGACCCCACAGTCTGGCGCCAAAGCACCGTTCCAGGCCCACCATTCTTTCCTTCCCTCCCTCCCTCTGTCTTCCCTCTTTCTTTCTCCCTCTCCCTCCCCTCCCTTGCATTCCCTTCCTCCATAAATCTAAAGCCCCTCCCCCCACCGTTCCTAGGTATATACCCGAGAAGTGAAAACATATGTTCACGAAAAAAACTTGTACACGAGTATTCACAGCAGCATTATGTTTTTTCAGTTATTTAGTTGAGGTCATAATGGCTTATAACATTGTGTAATTTCAGGTGTAAGTTATTTATCAGTTTCTCTGTAGACTGCATCGTGCTCACCACCAATAGTCTAATTTTCATCTGTCACCATATATATGTGCCCCTTTACCCCTTTTGCCCACCCCCACCCCCCTCCCCCTGGTAACCACTAATCTTTTCTCTTTGTCCATGTGTTTATCTTCCATGTGAGTGAAATCATAGTGTTTGTCTTTATCTGTCTGGCTTATTTCACTTAACATGCTACCCTTAGTTCCATCCATGTTGTTGCGAATGGGATGATTTTGTCTTTTTTATGGCTGAGTAGTATTCCATGGTATATATATACACCACATCTTCTGTATCCATTCATCAGTGGATGGGCACCTAGGTTGCTTCCACGTCTTGGCTATTGTGAGTAATGCTGCAATGAACATAGGGGTGCATAAGTCTCTTTGAATTGTTGATTTCAAGTTCTTTGGATAAATACCCAGTAGTGGGATAGCTGGGTCGCATGGTAGTTCTATTTTTAGTTTCTTGAGGACTCTCCATACTCTTTTCCATAGTGGCTGCACCACTTTGCACTCCCATCAGCAGTGTATAAGGGTTCCCTTCTCTCCACACCCTCTCCAACGTTTATTTTTTTGTCTTGTTAATTATAGCCATTCTGACACGTGTAAGGTGATATCTCATTGCAGTTTTGATTTGCATTTCCCTAATAATTAGTGATATTGGACATCTTTTCACGTGCCTTTTGGTCATCTGTATATCTTCTTTGGAAAAATGTCTATTCATATCCTCTGCCCATTTTTTGATCTGGTTGTTTGTTTTTTTGTCGTTGAGTTGTGTGAGTTCTTTACACATTTTGGAAATTAACCCCTTGTCAGATATATGATTTGAAAATATTTTCTCCCAGTTGGTGGGTTGTCTTTTCATTTTGTTCATGGTTTCCTTTGTCTTGCAGGACATAGCAGCATTATTGACAGTAATCAAAAAGTGGAAACAACCCAATGCCCATCAATTGATGAATGGATCCACAAAATATGGTATGTCTGTGCAATGGAATATTTTTC